TGCTTCTCTCTCTCTCCCACTCCCCCTGCTTGTGTTCCCTCTCTCACTGTGTCTCTCTCTGTCAAATAAATAAATAAAATCTTTAAAAAAAAAAAAAAGTTCTCATCATAAGAAAAAGAATTTGTAACTACATAGGGGAACAGGTGGGAACTAGACTTATTGTGGTGATCATTTCACAATGTAGAGAAATATTGAATCCTTATGTTGCACACCTGAAACAAATATAATATTATATGCCAATTACATTGCAATAAAAAATTTTAATACAATTAAATTTTTGTAAAAAGAGTAGATTCTCTAGACCCGTGGTTCTCAAGTAGGGGTGATTTTCGCCCCCAGGGGACATTTGGTAATGTCTGGAGACATTTTTGATCGTCACAAGTGGCTGGGGAATGCCACTGGCATTGAGTGGGAGGCTTGACACCTCACAATGCATACAATGGCAAAGAGTCATTGGTCCCAAATGCCAGGAGTGTTGCGGTTGAGAACCCTAATCTAAACTAATCAGAGTAGTGAAGCTATACCCTCTCCCAGTTGAGGACTTAGACTCAGAGCTGAGAGAAGAAATAGGGGAGACTTTTAAATGAAGCCTGTGCAACTCAGTTATGTTGCTGTAACAAATAGACCAAATCACGGTGCGCAAATGAGAGAGAGCACGTAGCTGATCAGAAGCAGGTTCAGGTGGTCAGGCAGCTGTGAGGGTGAGGCCTGGCAAGACTTAAATTTCCTTTAGACTTCTTGCACAGGAGTTCCCTGGGGTATTAGCTTGTTTTGCATGATTGAGGTAGGTCACCGCCCCCACCCCACCCCCGTCGAGTCTGGGAGTCTGCCGCTCCAGCAAACACAAAAGGAGGAAAGAGGAAGTGGAAAGGCAAGCAGTTGATATGTCCAGAGCTGACACCAGGCTGTATCGCCTGTGAAAGCACATGGTTAAAGCTTTAGGAATTTGGGGAGCCAAAGATTGTTAAACCCAACCATTATTAAATTATAGAAATGTACAATTAAATAAATTCTATTAAAAACAAAGTTAATATGTACTCAAAAGGTATCACTTCCTGATTTATTTTGCTACCTTCTGCTATTACCTAGGCACTTGAGATTTTCATACCTGGTTTATCTGCATGGTAGAAACAGCGCATGGTGTGTTCTATGGCTCAGCCCTTCCCAACTTCTCACTCCACGACCTCACACTGGTAGCTTGAAATCAGCCACAGTGGGAGTGTTTCCACCATAGAAATCAGTAAACTCCACAAATCTGAGCTCGATGGTTTGTTCTGTGGATTGTCTGCATTTTAGAAAGTGATCAAGAAAACACGAATAATGCAGATTGAACCTAAAAATTGCATTGCACCTGCAGCCATTACATTGTGAGTAGCCGAAAAAGTTGAGAAAATACTCTTCCAGAATTTGAAAACTGATTCGATTCAGCATTGCTCATCTCACTGGCAAACTATGACAAGAAATGCCTTAGTTGATTCACTTTTGTCTTATCCATTAAGGTGAAAGAAAACAGCAGCTAACGTTCACACTGGAAATACTCCGGTTCATCAATGATGTCAGCGACTTTTTTGCTGAATCTGGTAGTAATAAAAAAAGTATAGTAGTCTGATTTTGTGACCCTGTTATTGGTAATGGACTTACAAAAACTGATAATGAGTTTTGGGGTGTATTAAACAGAATGTGGATTCTGGAGTGTCTCTGTAAAATAGGGATAATGAAATGTACCTTGCAGGGTTATTTTAGAGTCAAATGAGACAATGTTTGGGGAAGTTTTGTTGTCTAGAAACTACAATTCAACTGTGAGGAGCCATGAATCCCAATGCCTACATGACTGGTTTGTGAGCAGGCTCAGATAAGCCCTTAGTAAAACCATGAAGGACTACACTGAGACAAGATATGGGCATATTACATTTATAAGTACTTAAGGAAAAATTATTGGCAGTTTTAGTTTTTTTTAAATTTTTTTAGATTTTATTTATTTATTTATTTGAGAGATTGAGAGAGTGAGCATGTTCGAGGGGAAAGGCAGAGGGAGGGGGAAAGAGAGAATCTCAAGCAGACTCCACACTGAGTTCGGACCCAAGGCGGGGCTCAATCCCATGACCCTGAGACCCTGACCCAAGCCAAAATCAAGAGCCAGATGCTCAACTTACTGAGCCACCCAGGCGTCCCTATTGGCGATTTTATTATAACAAAAACAATACTGTTAAAAATTTAGAAAATGTAAAGTAAAAATCAGAAGCTAAAAATACCCATAATACCCCCACCCAGAGAGAACCACTATTTATATTTTGATATAGCTCCAATAACTATTAACTCAGGATCATGTGTGTTTATTTGGACCCCCACCTATGCCCTGAGACTCCTCAACAAGATCATGTTGAAGAAAGTCCCAGACATCATTTAATTTCATCATAAAAACTTCAGTATCCTTACATTTAAGGACACTTCAAATCAATATAACCTAATATAAATATCACACCTAAAAAAATACTCTGGTGGAGGATGTTTATAATGAGGGGAGGCCATATGCGTTTGAGGCCAGAGGGCATGTTGGTTATCTCTGTTTGTACCTTCCACTCAACTGTGCTGTGAACCTCAAACTGCTCTAAAAACTAAAAATAAGTTATTAATATTATCAAAAGATGATCCACTATTCAAATTTCCCTAACTGTGTATTCCTTTTTTTTTTTTATAAGTTGTGCTCTTGTACTTTTGAATATTGGGTGTTTGTCTTTTTCTTGTTTGTTTGCCAAGGTCTTTATATGTTAAGGGGATTAACTAAGGTGGTACTACTTACTTACTTATTATTGTTATTCCTCCAGGGAAAACATGGAGACATCAGGACCCTCCTCCCAGACTCCAGATCATAGTCGAGTCCATGGAGAAACAGAAGATCTAGACTGTATGTTTGCCTTCTCTCACCCTCTGGGCAAAGCCACGTGGGAGGTAGAGTCCAGCAATGGGTGGAACAGAAGAAGACCTTGCTCGCCTTATGTGGCACAATGGCTCAAGTCACAGTTGAATCCTCTAGAGAAGTAATGTTTTACACACACACATTCACACACACACATGCTTGGTCCATTCTGTCCCTAGAACTTTCTAGCTTTGGGGACCTTCAGTGGCTCCCCAAATCTCAAGGGGGCTCTGGAGGCTTGGGCTGGCGCTGGGGAGGGTCCTCAGAAGGCGGGAAGGTTCCTGTGCTACCCCAGAATTGGGGATGAGAAGGTTCACTTGACCAGATCATCCCTGCCCTGTAATTTAGAGTGAATCCTAAGTTGACCACTATTGTATACAGTCTAGTGGCCTCTGGGCAGGATGGGGGGCTTAGAAGCCCATCTCTGGTTTCCACATTCAGAGAAATTTATGCCTTGGGCCTTCCTCGAGCCCCTGGGGCCTCTGAGAGCTTGGATCTCCTGCACCTTCCATTGGCCCTACTTGTTTGGGGAAAGTGTCCCGGAGAATCCAGTCATTCCTGGCCCCCAAGTCCAAGTAGATGCCTGGGGAAGTCTTGTTGGTCTCTGGGGTGGGAAGGGGCAAGAAACACTCATCCTTTTCTATGTGTGCCTCCCAGATGAAGAGACGGATTTCCACAAGCCAGACAGGGAGGCTGGACTCATTTCTCATGAACAACCCAAGCAGATCAAGAGAGACAAGTCTTCTACCTCCTTCTCCTCTTCTTCCCCCTCCTCCTCTTCCTCCTCGTCATCCTCCTCTTCCTCAGGTACAGCAATATTAATATATATGTGTATATTCACAATATTATCCAAGAAAAGCATTTACATGGAAAAACAATGCCCCATAATCTCCCACCTTGATACTTTAATTCTATTTTTCCATATCCCCTTCCAGACCGCATCTATCAGTACACATAACTTGTATATAGTTATAACTACCAGACAAACAATTTTGTCCTCTGTTTAAAATGTTTTGCTATCGTATCCTGGGCATTCTGACAGGTTATTCCGTAATATCTTGGCAGCTAATTTTCATGCTTACCAAAAGGTCCCTCAAGCAGCTGCATCTCATGTAAAGTAACATTGAGGTTTATCAGGAGCACTCTGGTGTTGAACTCAATGCATCTGTCTGCTCAAGCAGCCTGCCTAGGTCCAAATCCTTTTTTTGACACTCACAAGCTATGTGTCCTTGGATAAATTGCTAAACCCTATATGCCTTGGGGTCCTCATCTGGAGGTTGGGGATGATAACAGAAGTTACTACCTCATGGGATTATTGTGAGGATTACATTCTTTACACTTGTCAAGTCTTAGCACCTAGCACGTAGTAAAAGCTCTAAAAAACAAGTGTTAAGATTATCCACCAACAGTGCACCCCAATGTTTATAGCAGCAATGTCTACAATAGCCAAACTATGGAAAGAGCCCAGATGTCCATCCACAGATGAATGGATAAAGAAGATGTGGTATATATATTCAATGGAATATTATGCAGCCATCAAAAAAAAAATATGAAATCTTGCCATTTGCAACGACGTGGATGGAACTAGAGGGTATTATGCTAAGTGAAATAAGTCAGTCAGAGAAAGATAATTATCATATGATCTCACTGATATGAGGAATTTGAGAAACAAGACAGAGGATCATAGGGGAAGAGAGGGAAAAATGAAACAAGACAAAACCAGAGAGGGAGACAAACCATAAGAGACTCTAAATCTCAGCAAACAAACTGAGGTGGTTGCTGGAG